CAGATAAGGTGGCATCTGCAATAGCAGAGTTTAAGAAAAATAAATTATAGATTTTGTTAACTTATAAATTTTATTTTTGTAGAGATAATGGAGAAGAATGAGGTGATCATTTGCTTAAAGCAGCAGAACTTTGCAATAGCTGTATTAATTGATCATTGTTAAGGTTATGATATTTACAAAAGAGGAAGTACTTGAATGTATAGCTATAGTTTTTGCAGCTCGTTTCCTTTCCTGTTCAGTCCATTTGCAATTTTTTAAGCATTGTTTTCTTTGCACTTTGCTCTCCTCAACAAAATGTTGAAATCTTGTCAAAAACACTTAACTTTCAAAAATATGTTTTATCAGTGAGGCTGGGAATTTTGGGGTAAGCTGATAAAAGGGAGAGTTTTATTTCCTTAGACAAAGTCTTTGGCATCCTAGTCTGCCAGTCTTGAAGTGCACACTTTCTGTGATGGAAAATTGGAAATGATCAGGCTCAAATATCAAATATGTTATGATGCAGGTTTATTTTGCTAATAATTAGTAACCACCAATGAGACACTGTTGTAGTGCTGAGGATTTAGCATCAATCTTGTTGACAACTTATTACAGCTATCTACATGAAAATATCTTTATCTTTGTCTTCCACATAAATCCCTGGAAACAGGGTGATGTGTTTAAATAATTTTCTTTAAGGCTTGATTTGCATCTCCCTACAAGAGCATTTAGTTTACTAAATCACCTACCTAAACAAAAAGAAGTATTCCAGATTTATGATGGCATGTGAAGCCTAATTCTACCCTCTTATGCATATATATAATTATTCTTTGAAGAGCTATTGTTTTGTGCCACAAGACTTTTACATCTAGTATGCAAGCCATTTAAACTTTCTTTCTTCAGATATTTGGGCTCCTAGTCTAGGAACCATTGCATTTAGTTAATTTGATGTATTATGTGCAGATTCAGAGCTTCTCAAAAGAGCTTGATCCTTCTTCCTTGTGCCACAGAGAAGTGGAGATAGATCACAGAAAAATGTGTTTCTTATTTCTTACCCCAAATGATGGAAGGGACTGCATAAAATGTCTTAGTGTCCCTCTGGACAGCAGTGTGGCAAGAAAAGTCCTGAGGAACTGAGGGTCTGGAAGTGGATATAATGACACCAGTCAAAAAGTAAAAGGAAGCCTTAAGTTTTTCTTCCTGGACAAAACTACTCCCAGACTGTCAAGAGCCAAAGGAAGCCATAGCTTGGGATGAGTAGCACTCATTCCAAGTATGTATTAAATATTTGTATCATTAAAAAAGTATGAAGCAAAATTTTAACAGATGGGTGTAGAGTTTATTTATTTTGTTAAAGAATTACATAAACTTTGAAGACCATCATCCCACATCATACCTCTCTTATGAAACCTCTGCAATACCCAAATATCTACCAAAGATATTTCAGTTCCAGGTATTTCATTGGGCTCTGTCTGGGGTGGGCATGACTACAGATCACCTATTATCATATGGTGAGTGCACACAGCTCATCAACAGAGCTAATGGTCTCAGTCTGTCCCACAGTTCAAGCAGGCTTTATTTTCTAGTGAAAAGAGTGTTTGATTTTGAAGGCTACTAGCATCCTAATGACAGGGTTTTGTATAAAATCTCCCTTTTAAATGCCCTGGTCTGTTGACCCTTGTTTTGATTTCAGTCTGAGGACAGACTTCTAGCTGTCAAAACAAGGAAAGGTAAAAAGGGTGGTTGAGAGAGTGACCATAAAGCACACTCTTTTTTTTATATATATAAAAGGTGGACTATGACCAAATTGCCTTGTGATAAGATTATGCTTCATTTGGTTTCTTTTCTCCTTCCCTGTGATGTGCTCATATAAGCCTTGAGGATATTAAATTATATTTTGACTCTTCATAATGCAAGATAAAGATTAGACTCTTTCTCCAAGAGTGGTGGCTTGAAGCAATAAAAATAGTCTGTATATAAATAAACCTCCAAAAGAAATTTATTTGATAGGCAACTCTTAAAAATACAGAAAACCTTTGTATGCACCATCTGAAGCAGGGAAGGAATTTCTGTCTCACAGACAAGTGGATTCAAAAGAACCGTAGCAAAATAGGGCAGTTCTTTTTTTGATGAGGAGAAAGTTCTGCTTTTGGTTTATAGAATTATGTGATTCTGGCTTTTAGTAAAAGCTATGTAACAGATTGCATTGCAGTTTATTTTTCTGAGGATGCTCCTCAATAGTGAAAGAGAAAGAGCTCTTCTGTTCCTGACAGAATGGAATCTTATATTGACCTAGTCCTGACCTAAAACAAATCATCTCACCCAGTCTAAAAATTTCATATTCATTTGCTCCTTTCAGAGAAAAGGAGGAAAACCAAATAAAATTAAAACACAGAAAAAACACCACCAAACCAACCAGTTCTGATTTAGAACTTTTAAAGATTCAGTGTATAAATACAGCCAGAACTGACAGCCCACCACACAGGGTATTAGCTTGGAACTCTTCAGGAGAGAAGTTGCCTGTGCATGTATTGGATGTGTGCTTCTTTAGTGGCACACACCATATTTTACACATATTTGCTTTGCATAGTCAAAATATTTTCAGGTATATTTACAGAGAAGGAGAATAAGAAAAGAAAACAAAAGAAAATATGATTGAGAGAAACTAAATGATGACAGGGTGTGGAACAATTTCAGTGACAAACCTCTAAAGAATTCAAATGCATTTTGATTATACAAAAGAGCCAATGCATTAAACCATTAAATATTAAATTTATTTTTCTCTAATGATTAAACATGTTGTAATAACTCCCTTAAACCTACAAATTACCATTTCTGACAATATTACTGTAACCGAGTCAGGTTTGTTTGAAATGCCTGATGTTGGCCTCTTTCTTTCAGGCCTTAATGGCTAATGTGTGTATGTGTGTGTAGAAAAGACATGTAACAATTGAAAAGAGTAAGATATTTTTCCACTTCTGGAGGAGATAGAAACATCTTAAAAGACCATTGGCCCTCTTGGTGGTGTTTAGAAGAAAGAGTTGAGAGAGATTTCTTGCCCACTGAAACAACTGCTAGAATACAACTGGGTAGAAAATAATTTTACCAGTAGGAGTTTGGCCAGTTTAGAAGTTATGATGTATTTAGTAAAGATTTATGTTTCTATTTTTAAGCAGCAAGGTTTCTTAATGCTTCTTCTCCTTGAATAGACCACTTCACATTAAGAGAGTGTGACTCTCTAAAACATTTCAGTAATGCCACTGGGCAGTTTTTCCCAGAATTTTTAATAGAGTCAAATCTGTAAAAAAAAAAAAAAAAGAAAGAAAGAAAAGAAATGGAGAATGGAGAATCAATCTGGGAGAAAGAACAATAGAAATGCCTGGCTTCTGATTCTGACATGTTTTACCTTCTTTTAAAAGGGAAACTTTTCTTGCTTTGTCTTCAAAATAAGAATATTTAAACCCAATACAAAGCCAGTCTGCTTCTTTCCACTGGTTTTTCTGTCCTCTACTTTTCTTTTCTCTTGTTCCAATTTCTCCATGTCCCTTCTTTAAATACCTTAAGTGGAAGTGCTGCCAGATTGCTGAACTAGTAATGTTAGTCTCAAAGGTGCCCGTGTGACTCTTGGAAAGTTTGATCGGGGCACAGAGGGTCAGATGAATTTCCTTTGAAGCGAATCTTTTTACCTTTAACTGTCGTGGTACTTCAAAAGAAAAGCTGCTCTTTCACCTATCATGCTCATCTACAGTGTTCAAAAGGCAGCCAGGGAACTTCCACTTGAAAATCTAAATTATAAACTTAACTGTGATCTCCCTGTGCCCAGTTCTTTTTCAAAACAGGAAACTTCAGACAACAGCACAGCAGGAAGTGGCTAGTCTGCTTGCTGTTCCTAAGGAGCCCCCCAAAGCTCAGCTGATCATTTGGCAGTCAGCTGGGGCAGGAGTGGTCCAGGAAACCAGTCCTGGGTTTTTTCATGAATTTAAGTAGACTTTTATTTGTAAATGAATGCTAAAAATAGTATGTTTTGAAGCAGCAGATTGTGGAAGTGTAAATATATACAAAAATAAATTTTAAACCCTCTAATAGTACTTTAAATAATATTTGTGGGCTGATGGTGGATGGAAGTAGTTAGAATTGATACCTAAAACCTGAAAGACACCAAAGTCTTGTTGGGCTAAGTTACCCCAGAATGGATGGGAGTGAGATCTAGGGTGCCTGCATTTAGGCATTAAAATTTTCTTCTTCCAAGTGGAGTTGATAGGAAACTTATGAATATTGGAATTGAACAACATATCCTGCAAACAGGACATGTGACACAAACAGTAAGAAGTCATTATAAACTGCATAATTACATAGCAGGTGTGGACAGAGAAAAATTGACAGGAATTAAAAATATTGTCAAACTCAGTTTTGTCCTACTTCAGTCTTAAAAAGGTGAATATTATGAAAGTAAAGAAGATAGCTGATATGAATTTTAGAGCTGATGTGTGGTATTATATATCTCACTGTCTGTGCAATGAGTTTGTTTATTTGAATTTATATTTGTCTATTCTAAGTCTGATATCTAATTAATTTAAATATCTTTGAATTAGTGAAATGACGCTCTGAGTATCAGGTCTTCTGTCAAGAGGTTTTAATGAGTATCAAGTCAGATGATTAAGGTAGAATGATTCTATAGCAGGCATGAATGCTTTAGATGCCAAGTTAACAAAGTGAAAGCTATTCCAGGAAATAAGCAAAATCAGTTGAGAGTTCAAAGGAAAGCGTGGTTTCACAGGAGTAAGCAGCTTCATTAAACTCGATTAATGATCCCTGTAGATAAATTTTGCATTTAAATTAATGTCTTGTGTCTGAAGAAAGCAGTGTTACAGAGCTTCAACCAATGATGCAAAGTGATTTACATGAGCTGAACATCTGTGATTCCCAGACTACTGACCTCCTAAATCAGTAGTTCACTTCCCTCCCCTCCCCCAACCTCTGCTAAAAGACAGCTGTTGAATTAAATTCATTCTTTATCCTTGCAGGGTCTTCATTCTGGTGCTTACTGGATATTGTTCCTATAAAGAATGAAAAAGGAGATGTAGTGCTCTTTCTGGCCTCTTTCAAAGATATAACAGACACAAAAGTGAAGATTGCCGCAGAGGACAAAAAGGAAGGTTTGTGAGAATTGCAAAAAACATTGATAAGAACTAACATTTATATGTTTTTAAGAATTGCACCTGCATGAGCATTCTCTCACACGTACACTATTCAATATAGAGACCTCCTAGGTTTTCCAAAAAAGAAATTAATATATGACATGGAATGATAAATTACCTGTCTGGGTTTTTTTATTATTTACATACTGATACAGATTCTGTAAACCTGCAGCAGTATGTAAATTTAGGAGGAATTTAGGAGACAGAGTATTTTGTCCTAAAAATTAACATTTTTTCATGTATCATGATTTAATGTGTTTACTGTCTGGATTTACAGAATTATTATTTTGGTATTTTGGAGAAGGTTTGGACCTTTACAAAAGTTCCATCTAGGAATCTGATTTCAGCATGGCTGAGAGTAAATGAATGTATTTTTTCATGTTTTCCAATAAGCATAATTTAAAACAGCTTTAGAAATTATTTTGCCTATTGAACAGCATATATTCTCTTGTGTCACCTCATTTTCATTACACTTAAAGTTATAAGATTTGTTATGTCATCAGAATTATCCAATAGTATATGAAATAATTTCTCACTTTTGTTTGCTTCTGAAAGGAAACGCTGCAAAGATTCTGTTCCATGAATTTGGAAAATTGTTTTATGGTAATTGCTCACAACTGCCATAAAATAATTTTGACTGTATAGTGTAATTAAGGTTTGCTAAATTTTGCTAATACAAAACAAAGTCAGTGTAGGGAAATGAAGGCTGTGCAGTGAGCATTGAGTTGTGCATCAAAGGCAGTGAACTTATTTCAGATTTGCATTTTGTAAAGGTATAGTGAACCAACACTTTAGTTTTGTAATTTTTCAGTCTCTAAGGAACTGCTTAGAAAGAGTTTATCTGTAGACACCAAGAGTGGGTCTCAGAATTCTTTAAAATGCCATTGATGTTTAATTTTCCAACCTGGTACTACTCTGGGATTGATTTAAATTTTTCACCCTATGATTGCCAGTGATCTCTACATAGCTCAAAAAACTACATAGTTATGGCCCTTAGAACACATTTACTCCTCATGGATTTCTGAAGTAGGGGAACAATTAATATTCAACTTTTTCAGGTTTTAAATGTTCATTTATCAACAAAATTTATATTTCAGTTACAGAGGTGTGTGAGTCAATATTCTTTTATAAAATTTTAATACTTTAAATGGTAAAATAATATGCTTTCTTGTGCTGATTAATATTTATAAGTTAGCATTTATGCTTATGATGTCTGCCTCTTGTGTACATTTGGACAAATAATTTCACCTTTACTTACTTTTGAAGCTCTGAATATTAGAAGGTTTTGGGGGGGGTTCTGCATTCTTCACTTTTTGCACTGAATATGTTTGAAAATTTCAAAGCTTGAAGACTGAAAAAGGGTTTTGAAATAGTACACAAGTACATTTTACTGCTTTTCTTTACACTCAGTTTCAACCAGTTGCTACCTCTTGAAGTAAAAAATTAAAAGTATGAAAAATATTTTTCCTTTTTTCTCCTTAAGGCTCAGAAAACTTTACTCTTATAAAAGTTTTAGGAAAGTAATCTATTAAAATCTGATGTGTAGAACCATATAGGAGAGAAATTGTCAGAACATCTGTACTCTAAAGGCTGATGATTTGCTTACAAGTGATACAAATTTTCAGGATAGACTCAGTGAGAAATCACATTAAGTATGCCATGATGACTTGAAATAGGTATGTTGCTGATTACTTGTGAAATGACAGCTATTGTTTATCTGATAAACATTTTGTAGCTGCGTGTTTATTTTAGGATGGATTGAGATGGTCTTTTGACGTGGTTTCATGTCAAATTATAAATCTAAGCAGATTTTAACTCCTGTTTCCTGTAGCACATTTACAAATTAATATGATTCTGCTGTGTGCTGACACAGGAATGCACTTGTGCAGGGCTGCACTACACCAGCAAATGCCCATTCAATTGCCAAAGAATGAATATCAATACTTGGCTTTTTTCCATGATATAAGTTTTGGAGCACCATCTTGAAAATTGGTTGTTCCATCTCTTCATCCTAATTTTAAAACCTTGACAAGCATTTTACATTATTAGCATCATGGAAGCAGAAAGTAGCACTTAGTGTGGGGCTTTGACAATTACAGTATTTTATTAAATAGAGTGAGATAACAAACGTAATTTAACCATCTATTCAATTTTTTCTGTTAAATTCAGCATTTTAATTTTGTGTACATCTACCTGACTATATAAAAATAAATATAGGGGTATACCAGCTCTTTTTAAATAACATTAAATTTCTTCCTCTGCAGAGTGGCTTACTAATTCTCCAGTCGTGAATATCATCTCATTATTTTTAGAAAATAATTCCCAGTACAATCTGTGCAACTCATTCAGTATCTGAAATTTCAGAATGTTTCACTTCTAGAAGTAATTGGTGCTTCTTTACTTAGACCACAGCTACTATCAGAAGTGTACAATGCATCTTTTATTAACAAAAACTTGAGTTGGTGTTTTGTTTGGATGTATGAAAAAACCTTTTTATGTTCAGAAATTTATTTCCTTTTTCAAGGATTACTGATTTTTTCCTTTCAGAAATCTAATAATTTTTTTAAACTTGTAGCTGAAACTGAGATATTGCTACAATGTAATTGCCATTATGCACAGTTTTCTATTGCCTTTTTAGCATATCTCTTGAGGTTAGACTGTGTATGGAAGGAGAACTTAGATACAAACATTCTCAGTGTGAAACTATTCTGCTCATGCAAGGTCCCTTATCAGTGTTTTTGTTTCAGCCTCTCTCTTCTGTTTTCTGCCCAGAACTGACTTTTATAATTTATATGGGTCTTTATTAGTTATATTCCACCTCATTATAATTTATAAACTCCTTAGAAAACTTATCTAAAAAAATTCTTTCATGTTCCTCTTCTCCTAAGTCTGCCCCTTTGACATCCCACCAGCACTTTATGGTAGCACACTGTCGCTGGTTGTGCCTCCAAAAGCCTTCTCCAGACTCCTACTTCCTCAGGTCTTTCCTACTTTTGAAATCACCTGTTTCTTCTATAAAATCTTGTTCTCTTTGTACTTTTACAATGACATCTTCCTGAACTTTATCTTCTGATTTTATGGCCTCTTTCTTCTTGTGCATTGTGTATTTACTTTTGCAAATCTCAGGAGCCAATTCTGTCTGATTTTCTGCAGACATTTTCTTATCAATTTTATCTTATCTGTTCACACATTTTTAGTTGGTCCTTTGTGCCAATGTGCCTTGCAAAAGTCCACTTTTTTACCTTATTTTCCTTTACCCAGTCCAAATGTCAGATGTCGTCTGTGACCTTTTCTTTTGAATGTGTCATTCTAAATACAAATTTAACAGGGTTTTTTCCTGCTCTTCTTCTCTTTATAAAAGTTTCCAGTGAAAAGAGCCCTATCAACCAATGAGAGAAGCAGACTTTGTTCTAAGACTTTCACATAAGAAAAATGGAAAAACACATGCCTGAGAAGTTTGAAAGTCTTTAAGAAGTGCTGTGACTGTCAGCAACTTTCACACTACTTTGGTTTGTTTTGGGTTGGGTTTTTAAGTCAATTTAGCAATATTCTTAAAGGCTTTGGATTTTCAGTATTTCTAATTTGCCTTCAAAAATACATGTTTGCTGTATTAGTTTACTGTAGAAATATGTAGAAATATGCTCTGCTTTCCATCTGCTTAATAATACCTTTAATAATTTTGCTGTTGTGAAAAGCAATTCAGCACCTTTTCTTCCTAAAACTGTGCACTTTAAGCAAACTGATTGTCTTTTCAATATACAGGAAAAGGTTTGTTTGCTTTTTTTCTAAACTGTTTCTTATGGGAGTTTTATTTTAGCATTCTAATTAAAATGAGCTACTTTTTGGTAAACTATTTTGAAGTTCCATTCCTTTTGGAGGAAAAGTGATTAAACTGAAAATTCTATTCTCCAAATCTGGAATCCAGTGAGGCATGGCTGGGTCACTTCTGCATATGACACTAGAACATACTCAGGAATTTAGTGGGAATACAGGAATCCAGATAAGAAAATAAGAAGTTAAACTATTCTGTGACTACTTTTAGCCCTCTTCTCTGTGTGCTAAGGTAGAATAATTTAGATTATGTGGATATAGAGTTCCACTGCTATTGTCACTGCTAAAATTCCTCTGATTAATTTGATTCATTTCAAAAAGCTATTGGTAATCTATTTGCTTTTGATTTATTTTGATTTTTTATTGTGAACATTTTGAACTCTTTGTTTGAAAGCAGTTATATTTTAGGACATATTTTCTCAACTTCATTCCTGAATTATTATAAAAATGTGTGCAATATATAGTAACCACAGAATCACAGAATATTTGAGGTGGGAATCTCTGGAGATTATCTGGTCCAATGTCCCCTTCTCAAAGCAGGGTCAGATCGAGTGAATTGCCCCAGGAACACATGCAGATATGTGCTCAATAGCATGAAGAGTGGAGACTCCACAATGTATCTGGGCGCCTGTTCCAGTGTTTGACTCCTGATAAAAGAAGAAATAATGTTTTCTTAAACAGAATTTCATGTTTTATATTGGTCTGCCTGTTGGCAAAGATGCCTTCACTCTTGAAATAATGTGAATTAAAAGTTGGACTGCACCTTCTGCCACAACAGATTCAGCTAAGATGCATGTTATGGTTCAACTGTCTGGCTTTTTTTGGCTTCTTAGTAATCCTTAGGTCCATATGAATTTCTGAGGAGACAGATTTATTTTGATTATAAATCATTTGTTGGAGGGAGGAGTTGTTCTTTTTAGCGTGCCAGAAGTGAAATACCATGTGCCAAACATTTTACATTCCAGACATTTTATGTTGAAAATGTCTATTTGGAGCAGCACTAGTCTCTTGTAAGAAATTCTGCAATGTGCACTTTGATTTATTCTGCTTAATTAATGTCTCAGCTACTTCATGATTGCTCAAGCTACTGCAGTGAATATTCAGGAGAAAAATTTTCATTTTAAAGC